GGGCCAAGGCGGGTGTGTGTTTGAGTAACCAACATAAAGACATGTTTACATCCACACATGTATAAGCCTTTTCTCAAATGGTGGTTAGGTGTATGTGTCTGTTTGTCACATCTCTTTGGGAGTAAACTGGATCACTCCGGGAATGTACAGATTAATATATGGCTAAAATATATATTTTTTTATGACAAGTCATCTGGTAGCAGCTGCTAATTGTGAGACTTTGGAGTGAATTGAAAGTATTTTTGTTCTGTTGATGCCAACTCGGGAGCTTCGTGTTCGGACAAGCCGTGCACAAACCTACCAACGGGGATAAAAGAGGAAGGAAAGCGAGAGTGAGACGGTGTCATCATCCAAACGTACACACATCCCCACAAGTGGTTCCAGTGAAAGAGTTCAAAACACCAGACGTGCACTAAATCAACAGATTAAGACCACAACGCTGTTATTCTTACTGCTGTGGTAATTTGGTGATTTATTGACTACTGTGTGTTCGGGCTGCGTGAACATGCATGAGAGGAGAGCGAGCAATAACTAAAAGTCATGGAGGCATTTCACGTGGAATGAGCAGGCATGTCTGCACATTTAGTCAGTCATTTTTTGTATTTATACAAAGTGTACACACACATGCACACACGTGGAGACATAAAAGCAGGCAGACACAGGCAAACATAAGCCTTTGATGCAGCACCTGTGGAAATGAGCTCTGTAACACAAAGACTGACTTGCATTAGCAGCCTTGGATTCAGTTGTCAATGTATAGAGAAGTCCAAACACACCAGTGTATTATCTTGATTTTGTATAGTGCTGAAAACCAAGTCCATATGGGGGGGGGGAAAGGTGCTGGGACAAAAGAATCTGCTCATGTCTGACAACAATTCTGTTCAAACGCAGTCAGTTGCAAATGTCAAACAACGTTAGCCGTGATTTCTGTTGAATACATTTTCTCCCAAACATTGTGAGAAGATGTTTGCAAAGGAAACGTCAACAAGAATTACTGCGGCTCTGTGCATGACGTCAGGCTTCTATGCTTTCCACATTGCTCCAGTGCCACACGGTCCAGGATACTGACCTGCGATGACCTGCGGATCCCCGTTTTTCTCCACAAACACAGACGTAAACCCCCTGGTCCAAACTCTGACCTCTTGGCTCTCCCACTGGTTTCAGACGCAACACTTGAGCTGGTTCCTTTAACACCAGATGTTCTCAGCAGAGGCCGTGCACTGACCTGTGCCACACCACAGCTCTAGTGAGGATACGGGTTTACAATTCAAACCACGAATCATCATCTCATTTTTCCCTGAAAGTGTTGTCCTAATATCGCCTTCTTCCCCCTTTCATCCTCGGGTATTGACTCTATTTGAATGCATAAATGCGTTTATAAAAAGGTGATGGAAAGCACAAATCGGATGTTAATTTTAAAAAAGATATTGTGTAAAGAAAGCCCCTTCCATACAGTGGCACAGAAAGCCTTACAAGGCATTGGCGCAAAATTACACACAAATGTGTTTGTTACATCAATTTCCTTGAACTCAAAAGAAATTGGATATTATTTAAATATCAGGGAGGTAGGAGAGGTGCATGTAAACTTACTAACTTTGTAGAAAGGAACTTTAAATTGTTGTGAATTTGAAGTGAGAACAAGTGTAAGCAATACTCGTCCTTAATATGTTTCTGTTTGAAGTGAACAAACCTCAAGTTTTTTTTTTTCCAGCGAGCACTGTAGCAGATGTCTTTTACACACAATAATTGAGTCAAACAATTCTGGTGATATATCGGTGTGTGGTACACGATTCCAATCTTCACTGGTCTATATCATTGATCCATATTATACCTCACTGTGTTAAGCTGTGATAAAAAGAACAATACCGATGCTTTACACTCCTTAAAGATACATTTGAGTAAAAATGGACAAAATGGAATGTAGCATTGGATTAAATATAGGAAACAATAAAGCTGCATTAAGATGCTACAATGCAAGTCCTCTTTTTGTAACGATATTTTAGTAATCGTGCACAGTGCATTAAGACTTAACAGTAGTTACGAGAACAAGAATTGTGCTAATGGCTTGTTTTTAGGTGAAAGGAACAGTTTGTAGTTTTACTTTATAGACTGCGTTGGTTAGTTTCAGCCCCTCAGGTTAAATAGACGCAATTAAAGCGACAATCCAGGTGTTCTGTCGCAGCCTCTCCCCTGCCCAGGTGTCCTATACAACCCTGTGCAGTTAAACAGCTCACATTATTCCATCCTTTATGTGTTCAAGTGGTCGAGCTTCTTCTTTCTGTCATAAACTGAATGTAATTTGCACGTCTGTTGAGCTGCTGGCATTGTATTGCATCCCCACACTAGAGAGCAGTGAACAAAGCCACAGTTCAATTTGAGACGAAGGGGGATTTATGTATCCATGTGACTAACTAATGCATTGAGGCATTTTTTTGTCATGAAGTCTGTCTCTTGAAAGACAACTAGAATGAAGTACACAAAATCACGACACATAGAACAAGCCAAATGTCCACAGCCGGGTCACCTGACCCGAGCTCACCGGGAGGCGTATAAATAGCTCTACAGTTTCAAGGACATCCTTCTTCTGTCATAACCCTCTTTAGGCATGTTGTTGTTGATACTCTGAAAGGGCTGCAGTTAGGTTTAGGTGACTAAACTTCTTTGATTTCAGAATATCCTCAGGGTTGGGCTCAAATTAGTATGTAAACCAGGTAAAACATACACAACAGAATAACTGGGACACAAACCCCGGTAGCTACATTTCTCTTTAGTTGAATGATAAATTGATGATGTTGATAATTTACTGACTCAAAATGATAGAGTCAATTGAGACAAAACAGCATTAACTTTTATCCAATTCTAAAGAGTTATTTGGACCCAGTGTTGGTGACATTTTTCATGCTAGGTTATTTACTGGTTAATGGCTTTGATCAGGTATTGAACTAATGTAAAGTATCACTTTTTATCTCTTGCTCATTCACATATACATGCGTGTATGCACACACAGGTGCAAACATGGGGAAAGCGGTAGTTTGGCATCAAAGGGAAACCTGAGATGGTCATGAATAATCAGGTATCTTTGTAAGCACGGGAAAACAGCAGCGTCCATCTGCCCTCACTACACATACACACACTACTTTGCAGGATGTAAGCTGTTTTTGCCATTGGGAGTTCTCATGGAATATATAGAAAACAACAATTTTTATCTTAAACTCCAGCCAAAGTTACTGAGATTCATTTGGAATAAAGTTCAGTGCCTTTTTTAGTTTGCAAGCTTCTGCATCATTCTGCATGATTGACGTAAGTCAGCAGTGGAGGCGACATTGCAAACAGCTCCACTTTAGATCCCCGGGCCCAGGCAGTTCATTAATTGTTGTTATATTTGGTGTGATTTACCACTCATACCACTGATAGTAACCTGAAACAAGGCCAAAAACTGTCTATATCACTGTAACGACTAAGACAGTACCATGACAATTAAACATTTTATTGGCTTTATAGACTGTTCTCCTTTTATGTATGGCTTCATTTTATGTGCAGAACCAGCAGATGCCTTCCTGAGACAATTAAATATAAAATGTAGTTTCCTTCCTTCTGGATAGAAATTTTCTTCAAAATATGGGACATGAGTTGTAACTTAAAGGCCAAAAAGATACATTTACTTTTTAGTGGAGTTTCAAGTCAATACGCTCTGAATGATGCCGCTTTAACCTCATGGACACCACCTCTTGGATGTCACGTACAATATATGGCCAGACTGCTGAAGATCACGCTTTCCACTTCCTCTGTGAGCAGACAGAGAGGTGATGAAACCAGTCAAACACACAGGCAGCATCACTGAAGCTCGTAACATTTGACTTTGTTCAGCACCGTTCCCTTAATACAGGGCTTTACTCCTTTTGCCTAAACTGAACGTTTTGATGAGTTTTCTGATCTAACGGCGATATACAAACGTACAGACACCATAATGCTGTTGAATATGAATATGAAGATATATATATATATATATAAAGATCTTTTTTAAACCACAATCCAACATTTACATTTTTACACTTTCTACATATTCAAATTAAATCTAAAGACCAAGTTTTAACTCAGCTTCGCCAAATCGTTGTGTGGCACACTGTTGGAGCGTTCAGTGTGTGAGATGTTTGTTTGTTTGTTTGCGTAAACGTTAGTCCACGGGGACATTCCTCCCCTGTCAAAGCCCGACAGGAATTCCCTGGTAGGAGTGGCGGGCACGAGCCTCGTGTTTAGCCCACGCTTGCACACACACACACACACACACACACAATTACATATCAGAGTGTAAAACACATTGATCATCTGCACACCCATGTAGGCACCAGGCCCCACCCAGACACACCGATATCCTCAGCAATACATACTTGGTGTAGGACATCAGAAACTACAATACCCTTTAACGGTTGTGTAACATGAGAGGAGAGAGACAGATAGATACAGACCTTTTTTTTGGAGGGGGGGGGGAGAGAATGGAGGTAACCTGATGTCCCATGAGTTTTCTGAACAGTGAACTGGTTCCCATTGAAGTTTGGAGAACCTCTTTTCTAATCTTCGCCTCTATTCTGAGTGCGAGGGTCTCTCACTCGGCATCCTCTCCTCTTCCATTATCTCTCTCCATCTGTTTGTGCCTGGAAAACTACTGTGCTGACGGACCTTTTGAGAGAACTGAGCCAACACAAATTCAACTTTTATAAGGCATATAAACTTTTCTTAGTACCTCCCGTCTCTGTGTGTGTGTGTGTGTGTGTGTGTGTGTCAGTCAGCTGGAGTTTTCTCCCCCCAACAGAGAACTTTTCTGGTTGCCACTGAGCTCAATCTCAATTCAGTGGCTCCATTTTCACTCAAGGGCACAGGTATGGGGGGGGAACTTCTCCTCTGCTCTCTCTTCTGTTTCTCTGTCCTGTCTGCACACAAACGCACCCAACACATTAACACCGTGTTTAATTAGAGTATTAAAAGAATAAGATGGGACTCACCACCCTGTTAATGACTCTCTGCGCTCACAGTGAGTGAAAACCTCCAGATGAACTCTGCTATATTCCACCTCACTCTCTCCAGGCCAGGTGCAGAATTATCCCAATCTCCAAACGGCGCTCCTGCTTTTAAAGCTGTGAATCCAGGACTTGGGCCATTCACTTCTGTCGGTCTCCCTCCCACACTCTTTGGGAAATGGATTGCTCTAAAAATTTAGTTAGAGGAGTCCCGAAGCTGCTCCCTCCCTCCGGCGTGGCTCACTACAGGTCCTAGTGCCTATCTCTTACCCGGGCTCCCACAAAGAAAGAAAAAAAGTGTAGGCCTACAGCTGCTCATAATTTGCAACCAGTTGCTGTTATTCGTCCTCTATCTTTTGCGTAATTTGGTAGAAATACACTTTCACTTGGGGGATGATGCAACCACAGCGCTTTCCATTTGAGACTTGACGTCACCAGACGGCCAACGTCTGGGTTCCTCCTGTGCAGGAAAAAAGGCTTCCCAAGATTGCCATTGTTCTTCCACACCTGAGTGATATCAATAAATAGGCAGAGGAGCTTGTGTGTGGTCTGCGTGGTGCAACGTGCCTTTGCCATCAACATCATATTGGTCCACCATTTCATAACCGCTGATGTTGTAGATAATGTTCCTTCTTTCGCTAATCAGACCGTCCACAGTCCAATGAAATTCACGCGGTGACGAAAAGAACGAAAACCTTGATGGTCCATTGCAGCCAGGAAATCCTCCCCTGCTGCTCGTCAATGATAAATAGGAGGAATTGGGCGAAGGTTCAACGAGCACAGTAAAAACACGCAACTACGATTACCCCCTCACCCTGGGCAGAGAGCGGGCCACACCCTGCATTCAGGGCCTCCGCGCTCCAGTGTCACAACAGCTCCTCTCTGACATTTGTCTCCCCGTCAAGCATCTCAATTTTTTTTTTTTTTTCACATCTTGCCTTCTCGCACTCTTTCTGGTTCTACACGTTCCTCTCTTTCATGGCTTCTCTCTGACCTGAACAGTATCACTGTCAGAGCCCCCGGCGCTGAGCAGACCCAGCCCTCAGATTCAACAGATGCATAGGAAGGAAAATATTCATTATTGTACTTTAAGTTGAGCTGGTGTTAATGAAGACTTTATTGTTTGCTAATGGGGCCTGGAATAAATTGCACTGGGAAAATCCCGAGAGGGTTCTATCTGCTTAAGAGTATTGACCCCCATTTAGGAGTTCAGACACAGGTTACATTACATTACCCTAAAAGCAGCATTTTTTGATGTCTGTGTGTGTGTTTGTAGAGGATTCTGTCACTGTCAAAACTGCTTTGGCCCTTGTTATGAGCATGAAAGGGGAAACCCGCCCCAGACAGTGAACCCTGACCCTGTACCCCACACAGGTTGGTTGTGTGAGAAATGCAGTGGAGGGGTAAGTGTTTTAGGCTGGGAACGGTAGAGAGGAGGTCAAGAGTGCATCAATATCCTCATATTTCAGGTATTTTAACACCGAGAACCTGTGGGCATGAGTTTGACCTTCTGGCCGAGACCCAAATGCAGGTGATTTTAAAAATGTGAGGATTATTAACCTTATGGTACGTTCTTGTCAAGATCCATTTAGGATGATGTACTTTGTAATCACATATTTCTGTAATGTATAATATTCATATGAATGAGATGGTCAATAATCATTTATAGTGTGTTGTCTTTCCAGCTCTACAATTTCCAGCGACTGTCTGCACAAACCCCATTTCTTCTTCTTTTACCCAGTGCATAACTACAGCGATGCATTCTGCACATTTGAAATAACTGCTTTTTCGCCGTAGGGCATGAGTACAGCGTAGCAGCATAAAGTTCACATCCAAATGCTGCTTGGTTTAAAGCTCTTAACAACAGGCTAATCCTTTCAGCCACGCTCACTATGTATCCCGTGAAATCTGAAAGAAGCGGTTGGACGAGTTTCCCGCTGGCACAAAGGTGCTGCACAGGGAGGTTCAGGCTGGTTTGAAGCACACATTCCAAGTAATCTCAAACAGTCGAGTAATGACGTCATATTTCTCTTGAACGTCTCTCCCTGAATTCACAGAAATGTTTAGTTCAACCAAATTACAAAAAAAGATTTGTCAGTGATCTGTTCAGTTCTGTTTTAAGCGTTGTGTTGATAGACACGGTTTCTAGACGAGATGTTTCCCTTTCATGTTCACTCCCTTTAGCACCCCAATAACATTTCATGCAACAAATAATTTTAATATTTCAAAACATGATCAAATATATATATTTGTGATCATTTCAGTAATCCAACCCGGATATTGGTACGTGTCAATCCTTCTCACGCTTACCTTGAGTGATTTCTTTCATATGTTTTTGTCTTTTTGATGTCGATCACTTAAATCACAAGTAGATCACAGTGCTTAAAAGCACATGCATTGTCATCTGCTTTTTTCTGGCTGCACTTGCTTGCGAGCTTTGCCTCCCGGTAATAGTTGACGACGCCATCCAGACCAAGACATTGTCCCCGAAGCGTTTGCACAGCTATGACCCTTATTTGTTAACCCACATCCATGATAATGCTCTGAATTTCATGTGGAACCTCTCTGAAATGAATTGTAGAAGTGATTCAAAAGAAGAAATATTCATTTGTGTCCAGCATTTTAACTACATGACACTTTTGATATGGTTTGAGCCAAACTTTCCTGCTAAATAAATGTACAAGCACTTGTTCATTAAATTAACAATACATCCCATCTCTGACACGTTTTGTGTTTATGTTTCGTCCCTGTTAACAGGCATGATGAAATTGTGCACAAAGCACTGTGCATCTTTTCTTTTTTGACACTTCTCAATTGTTACTGACTCGTCCCTCCATCTATCTTTTCCTTCGCGACCCACAAAAAGCTACAGCAAAGGATCTCCAAAGTCATTGATTATGGCTTTCTGGGCCAGCTATCCATATGTGAGGAGCTGGATGGATGAATGGCTTCATTTCACCTGCACCTTTTGTTGACTGTGTGTGCCTATGGCTCTATGCATGTGCGTGTCTTCCTGCGAGGGGAACTGAATGGCCGTTCCTCCGCGCATTGTTGAGTTAGAGGGCTCGTCCTCCTACACCCTCATCATGGCCTTCGGCTGACGCATCCCAGAAGCCTCTTCACTCATTGACTCCTCTGTCCTCCTCCACCCACGGCCTCGCTGGGCAGAATCCCGCTATTGTCCCACCATTCGGTGTACACAGGCTAGCAAACAGCCAGCCTCACACTCATACGCACTGTGTGCAACGCGCACGGGATGTATGGATGGGTTCGGAGCAACAGCTAAGCATACCTGGACCTCCACGGAAATACACTTACTGTATTTACACCTTTTGCTCATGTGACATGAAGACGTTGATCACAAGCTGAACATTTTTTGGGGTCGTTCCCACAGTTTAACTTCCAATCCTAATCTCCTCTCAGAGGAGCAATTTGTTGAACCGAATGGCCCTTGTGTGTGTTTATGCGTGCGTGTTTCTGTTACTGTGGTTTGGTGTGCTGGATAAGTAACGATATTGACCTTTAGCCTCTCTCACAATTGTTTGTGACATGCCCCACTGCTACTGCAACCCGTTCCCAGCAATTTTAGGAAAACGTCTGAACCATCTTGTCTCAATTTTACATCTGAATCTGTGCCAAAGTTATGGGATGAAAGCACAAGTCTCCAAAAATATGCTGTTGTGCATCTTCCCCGCTGGATGCCAATATAGACTTCAACTCAATCCTGTCAAACTGTTCAAGGAGAAAAAGATGTTGGGGGACTTCAGATTTGACAGTTGCAGTGTCTCTATTAAAGTCATTGTGACACAATAGATTCATGGTTGACCCAACTCCATAGCAAAGTTCTTTAGCGCCCGGCTGTTTCTCACACACAGAGTGCATTGTGTCTCGAAATGGAACCCCGGCCTCAGGGCGTGTTGCTTCACAGCTCACAACTCAAAGACATGTAGCCTTACATCTCGGCCTCAAAACATATTGTTGCGGTGGGAAAGTGCATGCAGTATACCACCCATCATGAGCATGATTAACTAAATAATAGAAAGGAGGTAGTAATGGTTTTCATAAACCTTTGAAAAATCTCAAACACGAGGTCCATGGAGCTGCATACGGTACATCTCCATGTGGAATAAATAGACAGACAAAATAGAACCAGCTATAAGCAGGAAATGAGTGATCCCATATCTGAATGTAGTTTGTGGTCAACTCTTAAGCAGCGATCAAACGGTCATTGCAAAGACGGCATTGATATGTTACTTATTCATAATTTTATTAATTAAATTTCCATCAGTTTTCTCCCCTTATCTTTTCATTCTAAAAAAGGATTTCACCACTTTAACTGCCATATACATATATATGAAAAAATCCTAACTTGTCTCCACCTCTGTGCGTCCACATGTCATCACATGACCTCTACACATCAGACTATACATTATTTCTTTTCAATTCAAGAATTGTCCACTGAGTTCATTTTTGTGGTCATTAATGCTACTTATGACTGCAGGCATAAACCTGTTCCTTTTTTGCTGTTGCCAACAAACAGGAAATACAAACATTCAACAACCTGTGGAAGTTGCATTTTGAATAAAAGGCAATTCTGCGAGTTGAGAACAGCAGCGTGTGTCTAGTTTATTTTTACCACAACAAACTCACAAGATGGAGCAGCCCTGTAACCTCACAAGCAAGGGTCTCTACGTCATAAATAACAAAACGTTTAAAGGGGCCGCGATCCCGGAACAGTCGCAATTACGTGTACAACAAAACAAGAACAAAGGTGAATTATGCATTCACATTCACTACAAACCAATGATTAATAGAAGGACGCAAAACAATATCCTTATTTGTTTTTGCATTTATCAGTTGAGGACCGTTGCCACCTTGCTGGTGAACGTGGCTAAAAATCAAATCAAAAGGAAAGAGAATGTTGAACTGAGAAGTGGACACAAACTAAACTATCAACTAGTTAATGTCAACATATCATCTTTGCTAGTGTTATGATACGAGAACACAGAAACAACTTTCTGCACTTTAATCAGGATCAAGATGCTGTTATACATTTCTCATACAAGTATGATCTCATGATGTCAGGGGTATTCTTTATGGGGTTTTTTCGACCGGCGGCCAGAAAAAAGAAGGTGGAAAAACAATCCAACTGCATGGAGGAACAAATTACGTTGTATTCTGAGCAAATGCA